CATGCGGAAGCCCAGCTTGATGTGTATAAGTCTCTTCATGCTGACGGGAGGGCGTCCGAGGCGGAACTTCGGGATGTGCGTGACAAGGCCCGTGCAGCTCGCGAGGCATGCAGGTCTGACCCCATCTCGCCTGGCAGGGATGATATTAATTCTGATGATGCGGACAAACTCACCTCCGATTCTTGGTATGAGGAGGTATATGCCACGGGGAATGATGTGGCGTAGCATTTGGTTGTATTTACTTTTGTTTTGCCATTTTTGTGAGGGCGTCCTTGAGCCCTTTGTAAGAAAAACTTGTAATGTATTTGCTGTAATGGTAATTATTTTGGTCGTGTACCTCCAAATTGTTGTTTCCTTTTTTGTTTGTTTATTCGACGATGACCTTTGCCGCAGTCATGCTATTCTGAGTCTTGAAATGTTAACCCATTGTGTTTTGAGTGAGGTTGAGCTCTTTTCATTAGCAACTGCCTTGGTCGTAGGGATGTTACTTTTGAGTTAATGTCGACGTATTATCTCGTTGTAGTTCGAGTGATGTCGAACTCCTTTCTTTGATAATGGCCTTGGCCATTGGGATGTTACTTTTGAGCTGGTGCCGAAGTAGTATCCCATCGTGGTTCGAGTAATGTTGAACTCCTTCTTTGATAATGGCCTTGGCCATTGGGATGTTACTTTCGAGGTGGTGCTGAAGTAGTATCCCGTCGTGGTTCAAGTGATGTCGAACTCATTTCTATGGTGATGGCCTTAGCCGTGGGGGTGTTATTTTGACTTAATGTCAAAATGTTAACCCCTCGTGGTTCGAGTGGTGTCGAGCTCTTCTATGGCGATGGCCTTAGCCGTGGGGTGTTATTTCGACTTAATGTCGAAATGTTAACCCGTCGTGGTTCGAGTGGTGTCGAACTCTTCTATGGCGATGGCCTTAGCCGTGGGGTGTTATTTCGACTTAATGTTGATATGTTAACCCGTCGTGGTTCGAGTGGTGTCGAACTCTTCTATGGCGATGGCCTTAGCCGTGGGGTGTTATTTTGACTTAACGTTGAAATGTTAAACCGTCGTGGTTCGAGTGGTGTCGAACTCTTCTATGGCGATGGCCTTAGCCGTGGGGTGTTATTTTGACTTAATGTTGAAATGTTAGCCCGTCGTAGTTCGAGTGGTGTCGAACTCTTCTATGGCGATGACCTTAGCCGTGGGGTGTTATTTCGACTTAATGTCGAAATGTTAACCCGTCATGGTTCGAGTGGTGTCGAACTCTTCTATGGCGATGGCCTTAGCCGTTGGGATGTTACCTTCGAGCTGGGGCCGAAGTATTATCCCATCGTGAGGGTGACATATTTTATTTTATTTGCTAGAGTGTCGTATATGCCGGTTTTATTCATATATTGGTGATACGTGTTGATTCTGTATATTCGTTGGAGTAACTTCATTCATACATTGGCGATGCATGTCGATTTCATACGCATAATAGAGTAATTTCATTCATATGTTGGAGATACATGTCGATTTCGTACATACAATGGAGATTCTTTGTATCTAGTTCGTTCATTGTTTGGCCTGGAGATGCCATCAGCAAGAGGGGCAATGAACTATACTTTGAACTTCTAGACGTCCCCCTCGTCGCCTCATTAAAACCTCCCCTAGAAAACCCGATTGGGACAAAACCCGGGTGAGGGAAAAAGAGTGCGACTTAGGTGGCGTCATTTCTCAGAAGTGGAAGTATTTGAGGTGGGTGACATTCCAGTTGTTTTATAGTAGTTTTCCTTCCATTGTTTCCAATTGGAATGCTACTTTGCTTGCTGCTGCTGTGATTTTATATTGCCCATCCCAGTTTGTTCCCAATTTTCCTTCATTTGGGTCTTTTGTTGCTTGTGTTTTGGCCTTGAGGACGTAGTCCCCGACTCTGAGTGGTCGTACTTTGGCCTTCTTGTTGTAGTACCTTTCTGCTTGTTGTTTTTGGGCTATCATTCTTATGTGAGCCATGTCCCTTCGTTCTTCTGCCTCTTCCAGGTCTAGTATTCTGTTTTCGTCATTGCTCGATCCACTCTCATTGGAGTACCTCAGGCTGGGTTCTCCGACCTCAACGGGTATAACTGCATCGGTACCGTAGACCAATGAATACGGCGTCTCACATGTGCTGGTTTTTGGCATTGTGCGATAGGCCCATAACACCTCTGGTAGCAGTTCTGGCCATAGCCCTTTGGCGTCCTCGGCCTTTTCTTTAATATATTAAATATTGTTTTGTTGGAGGATTCTGCTTGACCGTTGCTGGCGGGGTGATATGGCATGGAGAGTATCCGCTTGATGTGCCATTTTTCGAAGAACTCAGTCGTCGTTTTCCCAATGAACTGAGGCCCATTGTCGCAACTGATTTCTTGGGGATGCCGAAGCGGCATATGATGTTTTTCCAGACGAATGAGATGACTTCCTGTTCTCGTATTTGAGCGAACGCACCTGATTCCACCCATTTGGAAAAGTAATCAGTTAAAACCAAAAGGAAGCGTATCTTACCTCGCCCTGCTGGGAGGGGTCCGACGATATCTATCCCCCATTTTATAAACGGCCATGGAGAAGTGACGGAGTGCAGGAGTTCGCCCGCCTGGTGTATCATAGGGGCGTATTTATGGCATTGCTCACTTTTCTTGACGTAATCTGCGGTCTCTTTTTTCATAGTGGGCCAGTAGTATCCTGCACGAATAAGACATCTGACGAGGGCCCGGTTGCCTGTATGGGCACCGCAGTGGCCCTCGTGTACCTCTTCGAGCACACGCCTTGTTTGATTTGGTCCAAGGCATTTGGCCAAAGGACCGCCGAACGTCCTTTTGTAAAGGTCGTGGTTTATGAGGCTGTTTCTAGCCGCTTGTATTCGAAGCTTTTTGGCTTCTTTTTTATCTCGCGGGAGTGTCCTTTCCTGCAAATATGTTATAATGCGGTTGCGCTAGTCCCAAGTTAAATTTATAGAATGTACCTCGACCTGGTCTATTGATGAATGGAGGTGGGTGACCACATTTTCCTTGCTGATATTTTTGGTAGCTGCCGCTAGTTTGGCGAGGCCATCTGCTTCAATGTTTTGCACTCGGGGTATCTGGTCGAGTCGGCATTCGTCGAATTCTGGTAGTAGTTTGTGGATTTCTGTCTGGTACTTCTGTAGTATTTGTTCCTTGACTTGGAAAGTCCCAGTAACTTGATTTACAACGAGTTGAGAGTCGCAGCGAAGGATGAGTCGTCGTGTGCCATACTTGAGGGCTAATTTCAGTCCTGCAATTATGGCCTCATACTCGGCCTCATTGTTAGTCATTTCGGGGCACCGTATGGATTGGAGAATTACTTCGCCTGTAGGGACTTCAAGTACAAGTCCCAGTCCAGACCTCGACGCGTTAGATGCGCCGTCGGTGTAGAGGACCTAGAGGTCAGGTCGTCCAGGGGAAGTGCGAAGCGCTTCTTGCTCGACCTCGATCAATATTTTTGCACTGAAGTCGGCGACGAAATCGGCGAGCACTTGCGACTTTATTGCAGTTCGCGGTTGATATGTTATATCGTGCTCGCTCAATTCTATGGCCCATTTGGCCAATCTACCCGATAATTCGGGTTTGTGCAGGATGCTCCTGAGAGGAAAGGTTGTCACCACCTTTATGGGGTGGCATTGAAAATATGGTCTAAGCTTTCGTGAAGCTATGACTAATGCCAGAGCCAATTTTTCGAGGTAGGGATACCTCGTTTCGGCGTCGACTAAAGTTTTGCTGATATAGAAAATCGGAGATTGCGTACCTTTGTTTTCACGGACCAAAACCGCGCTCACCGCGACTTCAGAGACGGCTAGGTAGACAAGGAGGCGTTCGCCTGGATCCGCCTTGGCGAGTAACGGTGGTGAGGACAAGTAGGTTTTCAGTTTTCTTAGGGCGTCGACACACTCCGAATTCCACTGGAGCCCATTATCTTTCTTTAGCACACTGAAAAATTAATGACATCTGTCTGACGACCGTGAGATAAACCTCGACAGGGCGGCTATCCGACCTGTCAGTTTTTGTACCTGTTTTTTGGTGGTTAACATTTTCGGTATTCCTTCGATGGTCTTAATTTGATCTGGGTTGACCTCGATGCCTCTTTGCGTTACTAGGAAACCGAGGAATTTGCCCGAGGTTACACCGAAGGCGCATTTTTCGGGGTTTAGTTTCATGCTGTACTGCCTTAATATGTCGAAGGCTTCCTTCAGATGATCGATATGGTCTTCTTTCCTTTTCGACTTAACCAGCATGTCATCGATATAGACTTTCATTGTTTTGCCGAGTTGGTCTTTGAACATCTTGGTGACTAATCTTTAGTACGTCGCCCCTGTGTTCTTTAGTCCGAACGGCATGACCTTATAGCAGTACGTTCCTTGGTGAATGATGAAAGTGGTTTTCTCCTGGTCTTCTTCCTCCATGAGGATCTGGTTGTAACCCGAGTAGGCATATAAGAAGCTTAGCAACTCATGTCCTGCTGTTGCGTCGATGAGCTGGTCGATGTGTGGCAATGGAAAAGAGTCTTTCGGGCATGCCTTGTTTAGGTCTGTGAAATCTACACACATCCGCCACTTTCTATTTTTCTTTTTTACCATGACCAGATTGGTGACCCACTGGGGATATTTTGACTCTCGGACGGAGCCATTTGCGGGCAACTTATCGACTTCTTCGCTGATGGCTTTATTGATTGCGGTGTTGAACTTCCACCTTATTTGCCGTACTGGTGAGCAGAGGGGTCAACATTCAGTTTGTGCGAGGCAATGTCTTTTGGGATGCCCGACATATCTGAATGGGAGAAGGCAAATAATCAGCATTATCAATTAAGAATTTATGGAACTTACCTGGTTCTGAGAGATTGTGCCCGATATAAGCCTTTTTCGTGCTGTCGCACTTGTCCAGTTGGACGGGATCTAGGTCCTCTACGGTTGACTCGAAGGCTTTTACGATGTCGGGGTCCTTGATAGCGTCTATCTGTACGTCGGGTTTGGTTCCCGACATTGCTGATTGCTATGCTTCCGCGCTTGCTCCTTTTAGTTGCTGGGTATGTGCGCAATCCTGGGCGATACGGTAACACTCTTGTGCGGTGCGTTGTTCGCCCCGGATGCTGAATATTCTCCATGGAGCGGGATACTTGATTACTTGATAGAGACTTGTCGGGACGGCTCGCGTGGCGTGTATCCATGGGCGCCCTATGATAGCGTTGTAGGTTGTATCTTGATCCATGACGTGAAACGTCGTTTCCAGAGTGACTCCTCCGGCCAGAACGGGCAGCACTATCTCTTTAGAAGTTCGTTCGACTGCATTACTAAAACCCGTTAGTGTTATGCAACGCGGTATTATTTTATCTTCGAGTCTCATCTGCACGAGGACTTGAGGATGGATAATACACGCTCCGCGTCCGTCATCTACCATTATTCTTTTTACATCAGTATCTGCAACACGTAGAGTGATAACAAGAGCATCATAGTGAGGGAAAGACAAACCATCGGTATCTGATTTATCGAAGATGATACTATCTTCGAGGTCATCGTACTATTCATGAGTGATCGACCATTTGAGTTTGTGCGTAGTGGTGAACTTTACGTGGTTGATTGCCGTGTCATCACCTCCACCGATGATCATTTGTATGGTACGGGTGGGCGAAGGCAGTTTTGGGGGTCCCTGGGGTTGATCGCGTCCACGAGCGAAGTTAGCCCGTCCTCGATCGCTCAGTAGTTCTTTCAGGTGTCCTGGGTTTAGCATTCTTGCTACCTCCTGCCGCAAGCCTATGCAATCCTCGGTTGTATGCCCCCTTTCCTGGTTGAATTTGCAAAGAACGTTCGACTTCCGGGTGCTCGGGTCGGATTTCATCTTTTGCGGCCATTGCACCTTTGGGCCGAGCTTCTCTAGGGCATACATTATTTCTGAAGGAAAAACACAAAAGTTATGAGCAGATAAGAGTGGAGGCATACCTCTTTCGTTTGGATGTGGCACGGTATGTCGGGGGGTGGTATATGTGTGCCGTGGAGGAGGTGGGATGGATGTCCTGATGTAAGGTTGATGCCTTTCTTGGCTGAGGCAGGGTAGCTGATCCCTTTGACTATCATTGCGACGATCTTTCCTTGCTTCAGTTTGTACTGACGTCAGCCGTTGGATCGGACCATTGAGGTCGTCCTCGTCTGCCCTTACTTCGGCGCAATAGGCGTTGTGGATTTCTTCCCAAGTGGTGGGGGGTATTTCATGAGCCTATTTAACAGCTTTTGGGTTGCTCTCGACCCGCTCCTGCTTAACCCGTCCTAAAACATCATCCAAACTTGTTCCAATCATCAAAACACCTCAAACAACACCAAAACCATAAATTCTCATATAATTCAAGCCTAAGTTCTTCTAAAACTTCCGAAACACGCATTTGATAAAAAACCCAACCAAATCACCTCCGAATGACTTGAAATTTTACACACACATCCCAAATCACATAACGAAGCTACAGCAACTCTCGAAATTCCATTCCGAGCCTCGGATCAAAATCTCACCTATCAACCGGAATTCGCCAAAATACTAACTTCGCCAATTCAAGCCTAATTCTACACCGGGCCTCCAAAACCACTTCCGATCACACTCCTAAGTCACAAATCATCTCCCGAAGCTAACCGAATCACCGAAAATCACATCCGAGCCCTCTAACACACAAGTCAACATCCGGTTGACTTTTCCAAATCAAACCTTCCTTAAAGAGACTAAATGTCTCATTTCCTACCAAAACCAGTCCAACTCAACTCGACTGCACATGACACGGATAACGAAGCATAAGGAAGCATAAAATGGGGGAAATGGGGCGGTAACTCATGAGATAACTGGCCGGGCCGTCACATCCTCCCCAACTAAAACAAATGCTCGTCCTCGAGCGGGTCAAGAAACATACCTGAAGCCTCAAACAGGTGAGGATATAGGCTCCGCATCTCCCGCTCGGTCTCCCAAGTAGCCTCCTCCACAGGCCACGGAGCATCCACTGACACCTGTCAAGAAAACCCTGGGCATCCTCGCCCTCAGCACTACTGAATATCGGAGGCTGGAGTCTACCAAACCTCTCAAGACGACGCTGCTCATCCTCCGGCATAACTAGAACCCTGAACTCCTACACAGGTGCAACCGGCTGAGCTGGAGGTGCCTCTGGCGTCTGAAGTCCCTGCACTACCTGCTTAGGTGTGCGAGCAGCGGGGGTCTGGGTGCCTCCCCCGGCCTGCGAAGTAGCTGCCACTGTGGTGGCTGAAACTGCCTGAGCCAGGCCAGTGCAAACTGTCAAGATCTGTGCCAAGGTCTCTTGAAGACCCGGAATCACGATGGGCACAGCTGGTGCCTGAACTGGTGCTGCTGGAGTCTGATCCGGAGCTGGGGCAGCTGGGGGATCAACAGGTGCTGCCCTCGCTACTCTGCCTCTGCCACGACCACGACCGCGTCCACGGCTTCTGGTGGCCTCAGTGGGTGGTATTGGTGGTCGTCCACCTCGTCCGGTAGCGCGAGTCCTCGCCATCTGCGAGAGAATGGAATAACAGAAGTTTAGCACTCGGATCAACAAGTTCGCACGACAAGAATTTCAAGAATGTGAAGTTTTTCCTAAAGCTTCTGCAGCCTCTCGAGGATAAATACAGACGTCTCCGTACCGATCCGCGAGACTCTACTAAACCTGCTCATGACTCGCGAGACCTATGTAACCTAGGCTCTGATACCAACTTGTCACGACCCAATTCCCGAACCCGGTCGTGACGGCACCTCTCGTGAAGACAAGGCCAGCAAGAACAAACGAAACACCTCTTTTAGATAATTAGTTAACATAAACAAATCAAAAACATGTTTAAGATAGCCATAATTGCGGAAACAACGATAATAACAAGGAAACCATCCCGACACAGCCCAAACCGGGGTGTCACAAGTCATGAGCTACTACAGAATCTACTATAAGTCTACAAAATATGAATTCCGATACAATAGTCTGGAGAAAAATAAATGATAGAGGATAGGGGAGACACGGGGCTGCGGACGTCAACAGCTACCTCGTAACTCCAAATCACTGCCTGGTCTGGAAGGATCAGCGCTCAGGAGCGGACTCTGCTATGCCTTAATCTGCACACACGGTGCAGGGAGTAATGTAAGTACTCCGACCCAGTGAGTAATAATTATAAATAATGACTAAAGGCATGAAAACACATAAAGGCACAAAGTAATTCTATATCAGGCAGTAAATCACTTAAAGCAGTAAAACCGTGAAGAATCAAATAAAATCTCTTTTAAGAAAAAAACAGGTAGATCAGGTAAAACAACAGGTAAATAACAAGTAGAAATCTGCCCCTCGGGCTCAGTATCAATCGCTCAGAACAGTATCAGCCCCTCGGGCTCACTCTCAATCACTCATCATAGTATCAGCCCCTCGGGCTCACAATCAGATCATGTGGGTACCCGCGCTCACTGTGGGTGTGCAGACTCCGGAGGGGCCCCTTACGGCCTAAGCGCTATATCAAGCCACCTCGTGGCATCATCACTCGGCACTCGGCCTCCCATCACTCAAGCCACCTCGTGGCATATAAAGTATCTCATATCACTCAACATATCCTCACATATGGCCCTCGGCCCCAATCAGTCCAGAAATCATCACAAGCCCCTCGGGCATCAGTAAAATAGTAGTGCTCAGCCCAAACAACATTGGAAATATCATTTAAGTCTAAAAATTCAAGTAAAAGTGGTTGAGTTTGTAAAGCAGTATTAATCAATAGGACTGAGTTCAAGTAATATGTCAAAAATAGTGAGGAAACAGTGACAAAAGTCCACGAAGAATTCAAGTAGTCGGCATGAAGCCCAAATATGGAAATAATCCCAAATCATGATGATAACGAACAAGTCTCAGTCAAATACGCGGTAAAAACATCAATCGGGACGGACCAAGTCACAATCCCCAATAGTAAACAACCCCGCGCTCGTCATTAAGCGCGTGTTTCACCTCAATATAGCACTACGTTGTGCCAATCCGGGGTTTCAAACCCTCAGGACATCATTTACAATCACTACTCACCTTAAGCCGGCCAAAACTCTAGCTCGCTATGCCCTTGCCTCTCAAATCGGTCTCCTCGCGCGTCAAATCTGATCAAAACCACAACGAATACGTCACAATAGGCTAAAGGAACAAAACCCATTCGAAAATAATCGAAAAATATCAAAAATCCCGAAATTTGCAAAACCCGAGCCCCGAGCCCACTTCTCGAAACTCAGAAATTTTCACATCAACGGGTTCCTTATCTCGCCACGAGTCTATACATACCAAGAACTCTCAAATCCGAGCTCAAATGACCCTTCAAATCCCAATTTAAAAATCTCAAAATCTTAGGCCCTAGATCTTCCAATTTTTGCCAAGTTTCCATGAATTTCAGGGTTAATTTCATATAATAATCACGTTTTTAGTTCATAGGACTTACCTCCAATCAATCCTCTTCGAAACCCTCTTCAATTTCTCCCAAATAGCTCTCAAAATGGTCAACAATGGAGGAAAATATGACTTAGCTCGCGGAGGAAATGTTTAAAAACTATTCTGCCCAGCTCCGATTTTCTTCTATGCGATCGCGGGGGACCTCACGCGATCCGATGACCAAAATCCTCTGCAACAGCTGCTGAATTTTCTGCAACATTTTCCAAGTTCCAAACTTCCCGTTAGCCATCCGAAATTACCCCGAGGCCCCCGGGACCTCAACCAAAAGCACCAACACATCCTAAAACATCATCCAAACTTGTTCCAATCATCAAAACACCTCAAACAACACTAAAACCATAAATTCTCATCGAATTCAAGCCTAAGTTCTTCTAAAACTTCCGAAACACGCATTTGATCAAAAACCCAACCAAATCACCTCCGAATGACCTGAAATTTTACACACGCATCCCAAATCACATAACAAAGCTACAGCAACTCTCGGAATTCCATTCCGACTTTCGGATCAAAATCTCACCTATCAACCGGAATTCGCCAAAATACTAACTTCGCCAATTCAAGCCTAATTCTACACCGGGCCTCCAAAACCACTTCCGATCACACTCCTAAGTCACAAATCATCTCCCGAAGCTAACCGAATCACCGGAAATCACATCCGAGCCCTCTAACACACAAGTCAACATCCGGTTGACTTTTCCAAACCAAACTTTCCTTAAAGAGACTAAGTGTCTCATTTCCTATCAAAACCAGTCCAACTCAACTCGACTGCACATGACACGGATAACGAAGCATAAGGAAGCATAAAATGGGGGAAACGGGGCGGTAAGACGACTGGCCGGATCGTCACATGCCTCTTCATTGTATAGTTGCTCGATAAATCGACCAACATCCCGTTTTAGTAACAACTTCGGGGCTCCTGGTATTTTATTGACCCTTTCTTGATGCTCCTTCATCTGGTCACGGAGCGCCTTGTTCTGATTTTCCATTTCCTCCATTTTCTTTAGGATGGCTGCGAGTGCGTCATTACCTGTATCAACAACAGTATGAATGTTACCTGTGCGTGGGGTATCTAGTTCACCAGCGATTGTTGTGGCATCTGTGTGTGTAATGCCTCTACTATCACTTTGAACGGGTTTATCAAGTATGTTGTTCAGAGTGTTTGTCAGCCACTCTTCCAATAGTATTTTTACCGCCGGTGGTGCCTCTCCTATTGCAGACGTGGAGGTTTCCTTCTCGCGCGAAGCAATCACGCTTTCATGCGGGGGAGGTGAAGTATCTCCCCTAGGTGTAGCGCTCGGTGTCACATTTTCGCTATCTTCCCTACCGTCTTCGTTGATGGAGTCCAGGATGTTGGTTGTGACACCTGCTATTGCTGTTAACCTTGCATCTCCCTTTCCTACTATTGTTAGTTTATGCAAAGCTAGGAAGAGGTGACTATCTCTTTTTATGATCTAGATGAAACTAAAATCTTAGCTAAAGAGTCCCCACAGACGGCACCAAATTGTTTGACCAAAAGATATCGAAATCTTTTTGATTAAATCAATTAATGAAGATGATGAGGTAAATCTCAGCCAAGCGTAATAAAATCTAGATTGAGTGATGAAAGAGATGAACAAGATGAATGATACTTCCTAATATGTCAGAATCAAATGATTGCTCATAAATGTGATAACTTTAAATGTAGAAATCAAACGTAATGAATGCGATTGACTTAGGTAAAAGATGATGTTCGGATGATGGTAGGATTCAGAATCCCTCTTAATATCGAACAAAGATGTTAGATTTCAGATCTGTAATCAATGAATAAGGTTGTCTTTTGTATTCAATCTTCGATCCCCCTTTACAAAGTGTTCTCTTCCTATTTATAAGGGACAATCCCCTTTGAAACCCTAAAAAGGTACATAAAGGATATTCGAAAAGCATATCCCAATTGTCTCCTACTAAGCCTATACTATTACAATCGTGTCTCAACTAACCAATCTTGGCCGCTGCCTTTTATCACAACGACCATGGGACGTTACACCATGATGACCTCGTTCCTCGTCGTACTCAGTAGTGGTCGTGGTTGTTAAATTTGGACCTATGCAAAACTGTTAAGAGTAAATAAACAAGTCATTAACAAATTAAGAAAAGTAGTTTTAGGGACCGAAAATTACCTCAATAGGAAAGTTGTAGAAGGTGGTGAAAGGACGACAAGATTTGGCAGATTTGAGTGAGTGATTGCCCTGACGCAAGCGTCGACAGAGAAACGTATGTTTGTGTGTGCTTTAAGGGAGCAACAATTTATTTATAAAATGCATTTATTGAGTACGACTTATAATCGCGCGCCTTGACTTATAATCGCATTACGTTAATAAGACTTGTTAATCTCACTCTTAAACATGCGACTTATACATCAAATGCGTGTTTACGCGATTCCTCCAATGCAAATTCAACCATGTAGATGGATGTGCATCGTATATTTTTAAAAATTCTGATAAGAATTACACATTAATAGAATCTTCCAATCAAAAATCTCACATCTGAACAAAATTTCGCGTATGAGTCTGTGACTATTGAACGACTGCTACCTTGTGAATTTTTTTATCTGTTATCCATACCCGCACACTACACGATAAAAATATTAAATATATTTTTTATAAGAAATATTATTTGAAAATACGGTAGACACAAAGGAACGCACAAATACTATTATTTTATGAACATGTAAATGCACTAAATATTCTTATGTTCAAGTTGTGAGAAAATAAACGTATCCATTAGAAGAAAAAAAACGAGTGATGAAAGGACCTATACACAACTAGTATATCTGAATGCGAGGCTCAAGATAGATAGCAAAAGCACCTCAACTAGCTTACCAGATATAAACATCTCAAGTAGGTATTTAAGAGAAGAAGTTCCACTAGAACGACTATTAAGATTTCCTTCTAAATCAATTAAAATATAATATAGTTTCATATATGTCATACCTTGTTGCCCGCCAATTGATTAGATCTCTATGGCGAAGGTCTAATAAGTAGGAGTAATTAATACCACAATAAAAAGAGAAAGGATATCACATTTCCATAAAATAATTGTTACATCAGATAGAGTGAATAATTTTAGCCATTAATCTATATTCCAAAGAACACTGCATAGACTAACATGCAGTGCTTCTGCCTTAATCATAGAATAAGAGCACTACGTACAATAATATTGCTTTCGTCCATCAAATTTTTTCCCTGCATAATAGACATATGAAGATTGATTAGGGATATGTATGATGGAGTTAAGACTCAGGTTAGGACAGTGGGGGGCGACTCGGAACATTTTCCGGTGGTTATGGGGCTACACCAAGGATTTGCACTCAGCCCGTTCTTATTTGCTCTGACGATGGACGCTCTGACTCACCATATTCAAGGGAAGGTGCCATGGTGTATGTTATTTGCTGATGATATAGTTTTGATTGATGAGACGCGAGGTGGTGTTAATGAGAGGTTGGAGGTTTGGAGACGGACCCTTGAGTCTAAAGGTTTCAAGATGAGGACTAAGACCGAATACGTGGAGTTCAAGTTCAGCGGTGTGCCGGGTGAAGCGGGCATGGACGTGAGGCTTGACTCTCAAGTCATCCCCAAGAAAGGGAGCTTCAAGTACCTGGGGTCGATTATTCAGGGGGATGGGGAAATTGACGAGGATGTCACGCACCGTATAGGAGTGGGGTGGATGAAATGGAGGCTAGCGTCTGGTGTCCTGTGTGATAGGAAGGTGCCTCCAAAACTTAAAGGAAAGTTCTATAGAGCGGTGGCCGGCCATGTTGTATGGTGCAGAGTGTTGGCCAGTCAAAACTTCTCATACCCAGAAGATAAAAGTTGTAGAGATAAGGATGCTGAGATGGATGTGTGGGCAAACTAAGCTAGATAAGATTAAGAATGAAGATATTCGGGTGAAGGTGGGCGTGGCTCCCATGGAAGATAAGGTGCGGAAAGCTAGGCTTAGATGGTTCGGGCACGTGAAGAGGACAAGCCTGGACGCACCGGCAAGGAGGTGTGAACGGCTGGCCTTGACGGGTATGAGAAGAGGTAGAGGGCGGCCTAAGAAATATTGGGGAGAGGTGATCAGGTAGGAGAGGGTGCGGTTGTACATTTCCGAGGACATGGCCTTTGATAGGAAGTTGTGGAGGTCGAGCATTAGGATTATAGGTTAGGAGATAGGAGGCTAGTATGATAGTGTTTTAGGCTGCTAGTTGCTCCAGTTGTGGTTAATACTTCGTTAGGGTCGTGAGTTAGGCTGTAGTATGTTTAATGGCCCTTTGTGTGTATATATAGTATTCCCTCATTAGCCTCCTTGCGTCTATAGTACTGTGCCTTTGTTTCTGCTTAGTGTTATTACTTTGCTATCTATTTTCTGGTTATTGCATTGCTGGTGTTATCTTTCTGGATTCCTTTGCTATTACTGATACACTGTCTATTTCCTTCTTTTGCCGAGGGTCTACCGAAAACAGCCTCTCTACTCCTCCGGAGTAGGGTAAGGTCTGCGTACACACTACCATCCTCAGACCCCGCCTGTGGGATCTCACTGGATAGTTGTTATTGTTGTTGTTGTAATAGACGTATGAAGATTGATATACCATACGAGTATCAAGCTATAGCCATGGGGAATGGAGACACTAATAAACCTATCAGAAGCTATTGAGCTAGGGTTCAAAGTATAAACTAAAGTAGTTATCTGTAGGAGCCCAATTGTATCAATCTCGCCCGAGTTTTGTGCCCTTTTCATTTAGTTGGTAATTCCAAGTTCCATAAAAATTATTTCAATAAGATTATTCATTTTCATTATTTTCATGGTTAATCAAACAAAGTAAATAACAAAAGACATATATAAATTAAGCTTGTATTTTCATGTGAACAAACAGAAAGAATTAGGAAAACTATATAGGTCACAATCGTAGAATGCGAATATAATTCTCAATCACCAAATGCTATTTATAAGTCGCGATCATCAAATGAGATTCATAAATTTCAATCTCATTTGCAATTTATAATTCAAGACACATATAAATTGACTTAATGCATCCATATCATACATTTTTAAAAGTCCTAATAAAATTGTACATTAATATAAATTTTTTACCAAAATTCCACGTTAAAAAATTGAACGATTACTACCTTGTGAATTCTTTTAATGTTAGTTTTATTTTCTTTTTCTTTCTTTTAATCGTTTTCTTTTCTTTCTTTGTTTTTTTCTTTTTCTTAATGTGGGAATGAAGACTTAAATAATAATTAAAAAAAACTAAAAGACATGAGAATTGAACCTAAGATAAAAGTTCATAGCAATACAAATTAGTCATACAACCATTTCATTTGCATGTCTTAAATTCATAAAATTTTAAATATTGCTAATCGTTAATTTCTTAAACATGTTGCTTCCTTTTATTTTCAGTTTACGTATGAGAAATTTTTTCGTATTTTCTCTATTTTTTCAAATACAATTTATAAGTCGCATTCTTCACATGCTATTTATAAATTCCTCAAATGAAATTTATAAGTTAATTCAAGACGCGTCTAAATTGGTTTAATGTATGTGTATTATAATTTTTAATTCTAATAAAAATTACACACTAATATAAATTTTCAACTAAAACTCCCAAATTAAAAAAAATGACTCGCGCTCGAGTTCGCGACTTTTAAGTTGCAATCCTTGACGATTTATAAGTAGTAATCCATTAATGCAATTTATAAGTCGCAATCGAAGAATGCAATTCATAATTCTCAATCGACAAATCTAAGTCGCGATCATTGCAATCTCATTTGCAATTTATAATTCAAGACACATGTAAATTGACTTAATGCATCCATATCCTATACTTTTAAAAGTTCTAAAAAAAAATAATATTCATATAATTTTTCTACCAGAAAGCTCACTTTAAAGAAAAACTCGCGCACAAGTGTATGACTATTGAACGACTACTACGTTGTGCATACATTTAATGTTAGTTTTCTTTTCTTCTTTTTGCTTTTAATCATTTTCTTTTCTTTCTTTGTGTCTTCCTTTTTCTTATTTTTATTTTTATTTTTTTATTAAACAGTCACCATTGATCATTGATGTGCAAAAAGTTACAATTTGAATTTGGCATCCCAAACTTTGTACATGATCATTGAGATGTGACTAATCTTCTATATCCTAGTTAATAGATAACAAAAACAGAGTATGCTCAAGGCGGATCATAGATGATGTTAGAGGGTTTTGTGTGCTTAATTCTAAAGGTAGGTAAGCCCCATTTGTCCATATTTACTAGGCCCTTTATACGGTTAGGGAGATCAGAGAAAAGGTTGAAGATCATGTTTCCCTCAATTCTGTGACTCAGAGTTGCTAAACTATCTGCAGGTCTATTGGCTTCTCTGAAGCAGTGATTGATGTTGAAGCTGTGATCTTCAATCTTTTTCTAGATCTCTTTAATTTGCTTGCTGATGTTCCATGGTGGCTTCCACTCCCTTTTGACACACTTGACTATTAGGAGTGGGTCAGACTCTCCTATAGCCATCTTTAGATCTCTGTCCGCACACCATTTCAGTCCAAAGAGAAGTGCTTCTGCTTCTGCGTAGTTGCCGGTGCCTTCTCCTAGAGGGATGGAGTATGCCATGATGAACTTTCCTTCTTGATTTCTAATAATTCCCTCCCCCCCCCCCCCCCACACACACATTGCCCATTAGTGCAACTTCCATCACTGTTCAGCTTGACTATTTGCGCAGGTGGTCTGAGCCATCGCACTGTGATACTGCTTGTCTGTTGGATCTGTGTATAAGCTGCTCCAGTTTGTCTCCAATGTGTACTTCTAGTAAAACTGTTTCTTGACCATCTGCAAAATAAAAGAAGTGATATTAGAACAGGTTCTATACATTGAGGGTCTAGTCCCTCATATTTGTTGCCAACATCTTGATCTCCAAAGTTCCAACAAATGATAGGTGGGAGATTTTTGGTGATGTATCTCGAGATTGGATTGGGTGATTTGTGGTTCCACCAGGCTAGAAAGGTCATGTTCAAGTTATTGAAATTCCAACCAATACCCAATGGCCCCGCAAAATTCCTCCATATCTTCCTTGCAAGTTCACCTTGGCAGAATATGTGGTTAGTGTCTTCCAGATCAGTTCGACTATTGGTAGAGTTACAGCAATAACATTGGGGAGTTAGAGCAATTCCAAGCCTGGCCACACTCTTGTCAGTGCAGAGTTTGTTACCAACTGCTCTCATAGGAGGAAGACATCTTGAAAAGGAATGTCCTTAGTCCATAAGTTCTTAAAGAGAGGATTGTGGTCTTTTCTTTGCCTAATAGCATTCCAGGTGGAGCTTTATGGTAAATTTTCCCTGATTTGGAAAGTCTCCAGTTGACTTTATCATAGCAATTGTTTTCTAATTCAATGCCTAAGGTAATAGATGAGATTTGGTGCCTTCATTTGGTTGAATGGTGGGGGAGTTCCAGTTCCAGGTGTTGTTCTGAAGAATCTCATTCAGCTTGATGTTTGGTAATGGGACCTCATGGGTAGTAGTCGTATACAGAGGACCCAATGGGCACCAGTTATCAAACCAGAAGGAGACATCTCCTTTTCCAATGTTCCAGACAATATTGAGCTCCATTTCTTCTTTGATGTCACATATGGCTTTCCAATTTTGCGAGTTCCCCTTATTCCACATAATGGTAATAGGGTGATTCGACTCACAGTACTTAGCAATTATGAAAGATCCCCATAGCGAGTTTGAAGTTCTCAGATTCCACCACTGCTTTGCTCTAAGGCTTACAGGTATCACTGAGCCTCCTAAAATTAGCTCCTCCTTCATCATAAGGATAGCACAAATTTTTCCATGCAGCCCAGTGATACTTTCCTCCACTGTCTTTTCCGGACCAGAAGAATCTTGTTACAAATTTCTCAATGAGCTCTATAGTTCATTTTGGTGGGTTTACAGAGGCCAAGAGGTGAATAGGGAGGGCCAGGAGGACATGTCTAATGAGGATTTCTCTTCCTCCGGTTGAGAGGAGTTTGGTATGCCAACCTCCGATTCTTCCAATGATTTTGTTCACAATATCTGAATAAAATTCGATCTTCTTTCTCCCTATTGTCAGAGGACATCCAAAGTATTTAATAGGGAATTTTTGATATTTCATGCCAGTGATAAGCCTTCATTCTGTTGATAGTGACCGGCTGGTCTTGTAGCTCAGTGCAAAGCAGCTCTTGTTCTTATTGATGAGTTTCCAGAGATCTTTCTCATATTCCTTTAAGGTGCTCAATACCAATCTCATGGACCTCTTATTTCCATTACGGAATAGAATAGTGTCATCTGCAAAAGAAAGATGACTAACTTTACGACAGTTAGCCTTCATGTAAAAACTTTTTTATCCCACTCTACTAGTTAGATTGTTCAAATTTGTGAAAGAATTTCAACACTTAAAAATATACGAGAAGGGGAGAGAGGGTCTCCCTGCCTTAAGCCCTCTTAGAGTGAAAGAATCCATTTTTTCTTCCATTAACCAACCAGAAATACCAATTATTGGAGATTATTTATGAATAATCTCGATCCATTGGTCACTGAAACCCCATCTTCTTAAGAACTTTTGTGAGGAAACTCCATGAGACTCTATCATATGCTTTTGGTCATATCAAGTTTCAGGAAAACATTGCCTCATCTTTTGGTTTGTTTGATGTCGTTGATGATCTCTTGTGCCAAGGAGTATGTTTTCTGAAATTGATCTCCTTTAATGAAGCCAGATTGGGTTACTGGAGATAATTCTGGGAAGA